ACAGCAGTAGGGAACTGGACTGAAGTAAGGACACATACAAGGATAGTATGATTTATGTAAGCTTCAGCGTGACAGTATTCTAGTTGGTCTGCCATTACTTAACCCACTGCAATCCTCTACCCCCAAAGCTCATGTTTTGAGTTTCTACGAGAACTGCACGATAAATCAAAGCAAAATCACAATTTCAGTGCAAGTCATAAAAATTGCAATTAATTAATTTTCCAAAATCTTTCAACCCCTTGTTCTTTAAATAAAAAAAAAAAATACTAATAATTAACCAATTAGACACAAGATCATCCATGATATCTCTCTCCTGAGCTTCACATTACTGCCCATGTGCGATGCATCTTCCACATATTAATCCACTAAATTAGCATGAGCACTATTATCAACACCCCTGATGTTTAGTTCCTGCGCAGCACATGGGAGACTGCAGGCCTTATTTACACCAGAGAAATGAAAGGGGGATGGTGTCAGACAGCATGGATCACTTAAAGCGTTCATCGCCATGACGGTTAATCGAAAATGTCGAGACCTAGATTCTGTCTTTATGCACAGCCATTAGCATCAAATGTATTCCACTTCGCTCCATATGCTAAGTGGTGTCACTGAGTATTACACTGACAGTTACGAGCAGAATACATCGCTTTTTGCAGCAGCTAAAATAATACATAACATAATACAATACTTCAGGTTTCTTTACTGATACCAGACAGTTGGGTAAAGGGAATACATATGCACTCTTTAACCTCACAGTACACACAATACTGCAGAAAGAACATGTTACAATCCACTCAAGGCTTTCCTGTGTTGGCCGATTTATGCTATACAGCAGTCTTCAATTCTAGCAAAATGTTTTCACACCATCGTTTTCTTTGATTTCCTCACAATTCTTGGTGCACTTTGTAACTCAATATCACCGTGGTAACAAGTAAATAATACAAAATTTGCTTCCTCTGAGTGTTCACAACTCATTTTTGCTTGTTCTTGGGTATAGAGTTATTAAATCAGATAACGCTACACCAGTGTCATATGGGAGTGGTTTAGTAACCGGATCAGATCATATTTCAAATCTATATCAATTTATCGCTTCTTCTCATATTTCAGTAGTCAAGTTAATAAGAAATATTATAGGCCATTTTCCCCAGAAAGCCAAAATCTGAACCAAAAGCTGCATTTCTGACAGTGTACCATCATTTTAACCAATCAGAGAGAGAAAACAGAACCCCATCTTCAGTAATAAACAAGCCACTGACTGTACAAAATGAGCTTGTGAATTGTTTTGAATGTAGGGCACAGACTAAACCACACTGCTATCAGCTTTGTATGTGTGGAACTCACTGACTTCACACCTTGTTGAAATATTCTGGTTATTCTTAAACACACTGTAGTTAATTCATTCAAATGAGGAAGCAAAACTTATCACTTATTTATTGGGAATACCACGCATGTCTGAATATAACACAAACCAAATCAACTTTAATTTTGTATGACATTATATGTATATTCTTTATTTGTCATAATTATCCGTAACATCTTAGACAATATGCTAGAAAATAGAGTGAGACCTTTACCTGACCATTCTTCCTGCAGCAAGCCGAGCAGTGGAGGATTAAGCCATAAACACAGTAGCACATCAGAGTGGGCAATACAATGGTTGCTATGGTGACGGGAAGATCTTGCTTCTCTGTCAACAGCTGCTCATGCCACCCTAAATACCCCCGACTCTCCTTGAGCTCTCCTCCTGCGTGACATCAGGGTCAAACAAACAAGGCACGCAACCCAGATGCTGAATTTCATTGTAAGGGCAGTTTTCTCACAACATACTGCTTACAAACTATATTCACTATAGTAGTCTTCACCACAGTGCACAATACACATGTACAATGCATCAGAACATGCAGGTATATCACTATACTCTGATATACTAAACAGTCCTATTCACGCAGAAAAAAAAACTGATTTACAAAGACAAGGCAACGCTAAACTACATTTGGAAACCATTGCAGTAATGTCAGTCTTTGTTATAAGGCCTATACTGAGACTACATGCTGCAACATTCATGTCTCTGCCAGTAGTGTTTCGGGGAACAGGTATTGGCCTGGATGGTCCTGAGGATCAAAATGTGTAAAAAGTAACAAAAACAGCAGTTGCCCTGTCTGCATGTGTTATCTTTGAAAGTAGCTGGTTTGTTCTTTGTTCAAGGTTCTTACAGTTCTTGGGCCCATTGTCTGCTCTAATTGTAAAGCTCCAATTAATGGACCAATTGGAGCAATTGTCAACTTGGGAATTTTTAATCAATCGATCAGTCTCTCAGGTAATCCTGCAACAGTAAAAGCACATGGTTTGGTGTAGAGTTCAGATTTTGAAGGAATAAATTAGATTTTGTAATGTTTTTGTGAAATATTGGGGATGAAAAAAAGTCTGTAGTCATAAAGAAAATATTGGATTTCTACAACTCATGATCACTCATTGAGGACTTTTTTTTTTCCTCCATCATATTATCCAGCCCTACCTGGTTGCCCATTTGAGTCACCATTGTGCAGCATGTGCTGGTTACAATAGGACTGTCATATCACTATTCCATCATGTATTTATAAATACAACAGCCTAATGCACAATGATTACAAAGCAGGCAAAAACAGGAGAGTCATATTAATTAAGAAGCACTGCACCAGAATTCCTTCATGTGTATTATTATTTATACACATACTTCACAATGTTAAAAATCAGTCCCAAATTTGAAATGTCTTAAAGCTTAGAGTGCATGGGTATTATTTGAGAGGGAGCATCAGTGTGCCAGTTGGCTGGTGGCCCATGCACACTGCATATCTCTAGTGGAGGAAGAGAATGGCTCACCTCCCCCATGGTCTATCATAAATAAATACTGCTACAGAAATATTTGGACAGCCAGATACAGGGATTTAAGAAGCCTTGAGCCGACATGAGCCTTCTCTGGGACTTCCTTGCCCTACTTATGAGTGGGGATACATTTCTGTTTTGAACACTCGCTCCAGCACAATGAACATAGCATTGGCAGCCATACTTTCCAGTACTATTCCTAGTATATTTATTCAGCACATCAGCTAATCTTACTTTCAAACCTTCCAAGGATTTTTTATCAACACAAACAAAAGATTTGTTGATAACAGGTCGCACAGTTTTGATATATACAGGGTACAACGTGTACCAATCCCAAGCCTGGTTAAACAGACTGGGCTCCTGGCATTAAACCTGATTTGGATTCATGGGAAAATAAGAAAGAGGAAGATGATTTCATGAAGCGGACCCTGAGGGGAAAGGTTGAAAAGACATTCACAACTCATCACAAGAAAATGGCCTCACGGGTTAACTGGATGTGTAGTGATACTGATTACTAAGCTTGAAAATATAGTATACATCAACTAAACGCAATATCCGTACAGCTATGACTATATGACAAAAACGCTCTAGGGCCACAATCAAAATCGCACATTGTGGAGCCTTGACAAATAATGTAGGTATTATGGGATTTCTTCCTCTTTTGCAGACTGTATCACATGACAGTACAATGAATGAAATGGCAACATATTGAGATTGTATTCCATATTCAAACCAACACATAATTAGCTAAGGATTTGCAAGACCCCTGCTCAATCAAAAAAAACAGAAAGCAAAAAAAAAAAGAAAAAAACAGATTTATATGATAAGCCTCACTTATGAAAAAGGAAGGAGATTTGCCTCGCTTGACATTGAACATCCTGAAATTTGACTACAGCGCACCACCACCTCACAGAGATGTTGAAACGATAATTTGAACTGACCTAATTCAAAGAGAACTTGTTTCTTCTTGTCTAACTTCCATTTTGGACCAGTGACGATGACTTCTGACACATTTGGAGGTCAATAAAATGGAACTCAAGTGGGTTGAAATGTACAATTAAGCAATAATAAAACTTCTATTGTGGTCCTAATTGGCCGCCCTAAACCTGTTTTTGTAACGACTGTAATTATGGTCTTTCACTGCGGCGACAATCAGGTTAAGAGCAATCATAGGACAATGTTATTTTTGAAAATGATTTTGTATAAGCCTACAGAGAAAGCTATTCATTTTGCACATGAGGAATATGTCTGGACCCACATTTGGGAGTTCATTCAAATACGAAAAACAAGCAGGAGTTCAACTATTATGTGTTAACAGAAGTAAACCAATGCATCAGTAGCACTGTACCAGCATTAAGAAGAAATGAGAGAAAAAGAAAAATCTTAAGAAATCATGAAAAGTTAAAATCTCATCTTGTCATTACGTTTATGATTCAACTGTAAGTCAAACGCTGATTTAAAAGAAATGTGAATGGTAAATTTATCCACTGAGTAATATCTAAACTAGAGGTGTGTGATTTCATTTTATACCACAAACTGACATTATATTCCTGTTGATGTTGTGGTGTCAAGACTTGGGCTACCTGGGATTGACAGAGTGTAAACAGAAAGATAGTTATAGTAGTTATACAGTAACATGAGCTGTCCCTTGAAAAACTGTTGGCAATGTCTAGTACAGTTGAATGCTCTGCCCCTCCCCCACTCTGACTCCATAAAATAGCTCCATATGATAGAAATATATGTATTTTTTGCTATAAACGTGTATACATAAACTCTAATTATGTCTCTATATCTTGCATAATCAATGTGTAATCGTATATGTTAAATTATAAAGTAAAATAACTATGACTATGAATGAAGTAAGGTTCAAACTTACTGTATTTTTAGTATTTTAGAGTTAAGCGATTTGGTGATTAAAGTGCGCAGTTCTACAAAGATGACAAAGTTACACAAGCACAAAAAATGTGGGTAAAATTTCAATACACGTGTGACTTGGGCTATGTACCGGGTAACCCTCTTTAATCAACGCCATTATTACACTCCCAAAAGCATTATTCAGTGCGCTACAAACAACTTCAAAGCGGAGAAACAGTAAGTGACACGAGGTCGCCATAAAGCCGCCACTTTAACTAGCTTACCTTTAACTGAGTGAACTCGTGGTGTCCGCCACCTCTTTCCTCTTCCACAAGGAGATCCTCCAACTTCAGTGAGCTAGCAGCGACTTTCCTCCCATTTTGCTTCTCGTCATAATTCAAGTTCCGACCGCCGCTGTTTAGCCCCGTGACGCGCAATCGGGCAAATTTTACGCGGACACCGGATCGCTCACAAGTGTCGGTAAAGTTGGAATAACAAAGCCGGGAGTTTCAGTTGGCTTGGAGGGCTGCAGGCTACTCTGGAGTGTGTGAGAAACAGGACGGAAAGAAGACGGCAGCGGCAGAGAGACGCAGACAGGGAGCACTGGAGAGAGAGAGAGAGAGAGAGAGAGAGAGAGAGAGAGAGAGAGAGAGAGAGAGAGAGAGAGAGAGAGAGAGAGAGCCGGCGGTGTGGGGGTGGGGGGTTAGCTGACCTTAAACCTGGAGACGAAAACAAGCAATTACTACATTCACCAACAGGTTTACGCATAAGGCAAACGCACAACGCAGTATGGATAGAATATGGATGAAAACAGTATGTGTGTTACTGTGTATCACCAATCACCAATATCCAACGAGGACGCACATTTTACGCACAGAGATTTAGACAGAAGACTCTCTGTTTATGTTACGAAACGTTACACATGTCCTGTAAGTAGATTAGTACAATAATATACTGTCCAAACAGCTGGTATACACAAAGGCCAGGTCTAGTAAATTTGTAATAATTTATGTTTTGCTTGGCTATGTGTTTGACAACGTCAAAGCTCAGACTATCATATCATAATGTGGTGTTTTGGTGGTAGTAAGAGGAAATAGCTGAGTTTCACAGGCTACAGTGAAGCACGCTGCCTCTGTGGCCTCTGAGGTTCCCCTCCCCCACACTCTGCTCTTTTTCGCCTGCCTGGTCACACAGCGGTTGATTAATTCTCCTTTCGCCTTGCTCAGTCATTCAGATTTGGAAAGTAAATAACAAGTTGACATCATTACTGCTCTACACTGGTGTGACACATTCCTTTGGTTACCGTAAAGAATAAGCTATATGCGCAGAATGAAGACTATCTTACGAGACTTAAACTGAAAATGCACTGTGCAAATATTATTTGTTTCAGATGTGCTCAAATAGGAAATATAAACAAAGCGCTCGCCTATATTGTACATAGTAATTTAGTTCACTGACATTCCTAGTACACAAAAGTTCCATTTGGTTGCTTCCTTTGCTTTAGGTCAACATTTGCATTTGAATTTGTGTTAATCCCATAGGCTACAGTTAGACTATTCATGCTTAGGATTGGCAAAAATTAGTTAGATTTTTTATGGCCCCTCAAAGATAAAAGCCAGATGAGAATATTGCCATATGGACATTGTTAAAACAAACTTTTAATCATGCATGGATTTACAATGAATTTGAGACACATTGGATACCCCAGGTTCATACATGATAGATATAACGTTCCCAAATTGTTGAAACTCTTGGCATTTGGAGACACTCAGAATAGAGCGATTCCCATGAATATAGTTGTCTTATGTCCAGATGATGTTGTAGTATAAGCTTTTCTATGGCTGCATTCCTCTACAAGCCCTTCTCCTGATCCATTTTTGATGAGAGCAGATAAATGGATATATGAGCTGGGCGCCCCACGCTGCCAGAAAACAATTTCAGAGCTCCCCTGCAGTGACAGCAGAATGTTAGATACATTTCAGAGGGCCCAGGCATTTAGCTTAAAACACAGTTAAGCAATGCACCTGGTCCGATGAATACAACATATTACATTATATTATGCTGTTTCTGAGCTCTGATATAATGTTTTGTTTCCTCATCACAAACATGCCTGGGGTTGTGTTTTGTTTCATTCACACATGATTAGACACACAAACCCTGCATATTTACTATAGACTGAGTTCTTCTCTCAAACATTCTGTTCCACCTTGTGATGTCATGTGGTAATACAGGAAGTTCTCCACTGAGTTTTTACAATCTATACACTTACACTAGAATCATTTGAATCATTTAAGACTTGGAATTGCCCATCTTTACTCAACAAAAGGTAAAAAAACTTGAAAATTACCACTCCATGACATCACAAGGTGGAACAGAACATTTTGAGCTTTGGAGATGTAGACAGACTAATAATAAAAGATCACCCAAATGTGTGAATGAAAGAAAACACAATCCCAGGTATGTTTTTGAGGAGGTAACAACATTATAACATGGCTTAAAAATGACTTACACAAACTTTATTGACCCACAAGATTACACACATTATATTACAATAACAAAGAGTAAAAAAATATAAAAATTGGTAATAATAAATTCTCAATAAGTAGCAATAAAAATAGCAACAGACTGGTGTCAAATAGGCGCCACCTAATGCCTCCACTCAATTTCATTTCTCTCCAGCAACTAGGTCGGGAATCAGAATGCACTAGACGGTTTGCAAGAACTTTGGAAGTTGTAGATCGCGCACCAGCCAAGCAGCGAAGAGCTGTGAAGCCATGATGTCAAACTCAAGCCTCTGTCTAGGTCCCTTTTGTGGTACAGCACAACAGTAAACAAAGCGGTTGAGATGAATGTAGACAAAGACATACATTCTGTGTAGGCAACAATTCCCGAGATCAAGGATTGAAAACCGGAACAAAGAAAATGTTTGTTGAATTTTATCAAGGGGAAAGACATTATTTCCCTTCTTCCTACTAGATTTGGCGCATTACATATGTGACAACCAAATAGCAGCTATTGGTTAAATAAGAAAAGTACCTGCCTACTGTCGAGCAAACGAATCCTAATGCTGTGAGGTCAGACGGTTTCCACAAAGTGAAACCAGCTAATGAATCAGGCTAGTTAAATTAGGCATAATATATATAAATATATATAAATGCATCACAAGAGACAATTCTGTATAATACAGGACCTTTAAGTTACAGGGATATTACAGCGACAACATTAGCATAGATAAAAGAATTGCAGAAACATTCAAAGTTCTCACAGTGGTTCAGGTGGAAGGCTTGTCGAAGCAGGCTGGTGGTCACTGAGTCATTGAGCAACACACTCTACCCACTTTGTCTATATTTGTACTAATCTATGGTTACATCTAACCTATGTACTAATCTATGGTTACATCTTTACATAGTACCTCTCCAAATTAAGCAATGCATTTTAGACCCGTCACACCCTGGCTAATACTGTTACCTAATTTGTTTTGGTGCAGATATGAATACAAAGCCTTCATTTTTGCCTAAATATATTTTCTTGACCCAGGTCTCTCATGTTCTTTGTGGCATTTTAACCACAATCACAAACAAGCTTGGGAGTGGTGCCCCAGTGTGTAGTCAGTGCAATTTCTGTCTACAGTTATGCATCTCAATGAAAACTATATTCATCTGAGCACTATTTTAGAGCAGCCTGTATGGGGGGATTGTGAAAGACGCATTGTAGATCATGTATTTTTGGCACCACAACTGTCGAGCCTGCAGATGGTTTGTGGCTGAGTTCTGTGCAGCTGGTGAAAGATTTTTCTGTCGCCACATTCAGGAGCAATACACATGAATACACAATTTTCATTTATAAACGCTATGGTTTCAAATTTGCTATATTCCGCAAAATGTACTTGTGAGCTTGTGTGCTGTTACCTCATCATAAACACACCCAGGGTTGTGTTTTGTTCACAGTCTGTTTATTATTATTTTTTCATTCACACATGTTTGAATAACCTGTTATTATTAGTGCTACAGTTTTATAGATGTTTTATCCGGTAGAGATGGGCAATTCCAGGGCTGAAACCATCCAAATGATTCTAGTGAAGGTGTTTAGAGTTTAAAAACACAGTGGAGCACTTCCTATATTACCACATGACATCACAAAGTGGAGCATTGTGTTTTCCGTGTGAGAAAAGAACTAAATATGCAGAGTGAATGAATGTGTGAATGCAACAAAACAAAACTCCAGGTATGTTTTTGATGACGAAACAACATTACAACACAGAACACAAAATATGTGCCCTAATATGAGCCCTTTAAATGATGATCTAATATACAAATTTACAAAGTCTGCTTTACTTTTACTTCTACTTGCACAGACATAGTTGTATCAGCTTGCTTTGCTGGCGAACATGACCCACATTTTGCTTTGTCTTACATCATTCTTGCACCATTTTAAAAAGCTAACAGCATGCTTTCCGACAAGAAAGCTTTTCCCCCATTCTAGAGTATTTTCACTGCTATAGCTCAACGCTTCTTCAAACTAAACACATCAAAACCAGCTATTTGAATTCCCCCTGCAGACTGCTCCTCTCGTGCACATTTATTACATGAACTACGGTAACGGCGCTTCCTGCCATAGAGCTAGGGCTGACCTCCTAACAAAGAACAGGTTCAATATGGCTCCCCTCCCCCCACGCCGGGAAGCTGATGAGGGTCACGTGACCTTTCTAGACAGCACTGAGGAGCACTGGTGATATGCATGGGTGGGGGCAGGGTGCTGTAAGTCACACCACTCTTGTTATGGCGTTATAAGGGCGTTCTGGGAGAAGATATTCTAGAATGGGTATATCCAGTGAAATATCTATTGCCTTTTGTGCACTGTTGTCTCTAATGTATTGATATTGAACACAAAAAAATCCCCTAATGCATATACAAGTGCTCTGCCATTCTATATTGTTATTATTATTGGCATAGAAGCAGCAGACTATATTTCTATAGGGCTTTGTGAATGTATTTGGACTCACTGGTATCATGGTACAAAGCAGTGTGTGTGCTTTGAGCTATACAGTACTGTACACAGAGCGCCCCTCCCCCACACCACACCGCACCATCTCCTCTGCTGCCTAGAGATACACAAGAGTCTCACCAACAGTTGTTAGACTGGAGAAGTTAAAATATGTATGACCACAGCAGCCTATATAATCCAACCACAAGGACCTACTGTGCCAGAGCTGCTACGATACACACGGCTGTGCCGTGCCAGGAAGGGCAAACATCAATTGTAAAAGAGTAGACTGTGTGAATCAGTATTCGCTGGTGATCTAAGAAGCTGTAATCTGCATGATTAGCTATGAAAAATTAAACCACTAAAATAATAGTTTCACATTGTGGATGATAATTCTATGCATAATAAAAAGAACAGTTTAATGTGGGAAAGTAGTAGACATAAATAGTGGCTACATGAACACTGAATCCTTTCTGAGTGGAGTTGCGTAGGTAGTTTCAAGTGTGGTCCAGCTGTGTTATAATGTGGACATCCTCAAGTGAGCCTATACAGTATATGCCCTCTAGCAACATTATTATAATGGGTGGAGCTTGTAAATATGGTGTATTGTGTATTATGTGGATT